ACCCATGCACAAATTTCGTGTACCAGGCCTCTAGTCATTTATAAGCAGCCAAGGAAAGAATACATTAAATTCAGGAGAACAAAAATTAAAATGATAGGTTTTGCTCATTCAAAACAAAAGGCAGAAGACAATGGACAATTAACATATTTAAAGTGCTAAAAGCGAAACACCAACCCAGAATTTTATATCCAGTGAAAATATTATTTAAGAAATGAAAGCATAATTTCTGCTGTTGGCCATGATGGGTCAATTGGTACTTAATTGCCCTCCTGTCATAAATAATTGCAAAACTGGGTAAAATATATGAGACCATTTTTCAAACATTGGACAAGAGTCAGTGAAGGACAGTGATCATGAAGAGGGAAACAAGAGATGAGCTCTGCAAGTTCCCTAGCTGTCTTCCTGGAGGATCTTTTTAAACTTGAGAACAAAGAAAGAAAAGTCAAGCAGAAAATGATGACCTCGTTGGGCTGAGGCAATATATCAGAGTTCAGGAAAACTGACATAGCAAGAATTTGCAGAGCAGTATTCCACACAAAAAGGATCTATTCTGACAAAAAGCTTTAGAACACTGAAAATGGGTCTTGAAGTTGTTGTTTAATACTAAGTTGTGCATGAATACCATGAGTTTACACAAAGTTGGGCAAAGAAATACCCGGTGGCTTCTAAGCTGAATATAGTTTAAAGAAAACCATGAACACAATGAGAGAAATAGAAGATATTTAAAAGAGTCGATTGGAATTGCTAGAGTGAAAAATACAAAATTCAAAATGAAAAATTCACTGAATGGATGAAATAGCATATCAGACCCTGAATAAAAGATAATCAAAACAGAGGATATAGGAATAGAAAATATGCAAACTGAAGCAGAAAGAGATTTTTTTTAAACAGAAAAAAAAAAAAGAATGAAGTATCAGTTATCTGCAAGACAATATCAAGTGGTCTAATATCTGCGTAATTAGAGACCCAGGAAGAGAGAGAAAATAATTCTGAAAAAATCATTAGCATAAATAATGGCTGAATTTATCCCAAAATGTGATAGAAACTATAAATTTACAGATGAAAAAAGTTCCAACAAATCCCAAAGAAAGGTCCATCATAATCAAATTGCTACAAATCAGTGAGGTAAAGGGGAAGTAGGAAAAACAGCCAGAGGAAAAAACACACGACTTGTAGGGGAATGATGATAAGAATCTAAACAGATTTCTTGTCAGAAACAATACAAGCAGAAGGCAACGGAATAAACTCTTTAAACTGATGAAAGGCCAAAAGTAAATGCTATCGACCTAGAATTCTATATTCAGAGAAAATACCTGGTTCCCCAACGATGTCCAGATCTGATCCCTGGGCCCTATAACTATGTTGGTTACGCGTCAAATAGGAATTAAGGTTGAGAGTAGAATTAACATCTCTAGTCAGAGAGGGAGGTTATGCTTTTGTTGTTGTTGAGCTCTGTCCCCAGTCCCCCCTCCACCTAATCCCCCGCCCCAGCCTTCACTCCATTGTTGTCTGTGTCCAGGCCCCCAGTGTGACCACAGGGCCCCTCACAGTGGAAGAAGTAGCCGGGGGAGATCGGAGCGAGGTGCTAAGATGAAGCTCAGTCCACTGTTGGCTCAGAGGAGGGAGGGAGGAGATAAGGAAGTGGGCGGCCTGAAAATGTCGAAAACGACAAGGAACTGGATTCTCTTCTCCAGCCTCAGAAGCGCACTGTCCTCTCGACACCTTGACTTTGGCCCCTATTGGGCTTTTATTTCATAGGAAGGTAAGATGATAAACTGGTGTTGTTCCCAGCAGGACATTATCCAAAAGGCTCAGAAAGAACCATCTGAGAGTGCTCCATATAATTATTCACCAGAAAAATATGAATGAAAACCACGATGAGGCACCACCAAACTCCCACCAAAACGGCTAAAACAGAACAGGGTGTTGGAAGGATGTGGAACAACCAGATGCCCGGACATTGCTGGTGGGACTGAGGGTGTCCAGCTGCTTGGAAACCGCCTCCCCATGTCCATGAAAGCTGAGTGCCTTCTCTCCCGTGACGCGGACACTGCAGTCCACTCCTAGGTGTGTATGCAGCAGCAGCCCGTGTTTACGTCCACCGATGACTTATACACCAGCACGCATGGCAGCATGATTCCACGGCCCAAAACTGAAGACAGCCTAAAGGTCCGCCAGCCAGGGCACAAATAAACAGTATAGCCATGCAGTGGGCTACTCCTGAGCAAGGCAAAGGAACACGGACGATGCCAAACCGTTACACTGAGCAATGGAACCCAGACACGGAATGTCCAGACTTGCTGTGAGGTTCTGACATGGGCACCATTAACGCACAGTGACAGAAACCAGAACAGTGGTTACTTGGAGGGGAGGTGAAGTATTGAGAGGAGGGGCTGCTCCCTGGTGTACCTGGCCTGGGAGGTGGTGCTGGGGGTTTGGGGGAGCAGGTGTGGAGCTGTGCACTTGGGATTTGCACTCTTTCACGTGGCAAATTAGATCTCAATTTAGAAAGAGGCACAAACATGCACAAAAAGTTTATTCCTCTGGAAGCCAGTAACTCTTTTTAGGAATATTTACCGATGCATTAGTCTGTGATGTAAATATTGACTCAAACTTTGGAAGCAATGTAAATGTCCAAGATTACAGGAAGCCTCTCTGCAGGAAGGAAGGGCTCTGCTGAGAGGCAGGGCTGGCAAAGCGGGGCTCGGGCCAGAGCCACAGCCTCCCCAACTCCCTGAGGAGGGAGAACATTCAGGACCCCCAGCCAGGGGCCAGGCCTTCACAGGGTGCTTCTGGAATGGTGGGGGCGCAGCAGCGGGGACCGCGGCCGGGCAGGTGGCCGGGCAGGTGGCCGGGTGACAGCTCTGCCCCCAGGTGGGGTGAGGCCGGGTTCCAGGTTGGCAGAGGCAGGTTTGGGGAAGCAGGTGGAAGGGCCTGCGGCCGGAGGCAGGGCCAGGAGGACCCTGGCACAGTGGGGCCGGGCGGAAGCACGGAGATGTGACAGCAACTCAGAGGTGCTGCCCCAAGGTTCCAAGGCCGGGAGGTGCTCGGAGCAGGCAGCCCCATCACAGAAGGAATGAGGGCCCACTCTTGTGTGGAGGCCACAGAGGGTGGGACAGCCCTCTGCTGACCCAGGAAGGAGACACGTGACTGGGCCTCCCGGAAACCCCACCCAGAAGTCCTCAGACTTCCACCTCCACTTGGAAAATGGGAATACTTGTTGGAGATAGAAATGCAATTCCTTGCAGGAAGGATGCTCTTCCCAATGAATGGTGCTGGAGCAGCTGGTCATCTCACCTCATCCAGAGAGAGACTGAAATGGACCACCTGCCTAAATGTAGGACTGAAAGCCTGCAACCTCATGTTAGGCAGTAAGCCTTAGACACGACACCAAAAGCACGATGGATAAAAGAAAGAATTGAAAAATCATACTTCATCAAAATTAAAAACTGCTTTCTGAAAGACACCATTGAGGGGCTAAAAAGATGAGTCACGGAAGGGAGGAAGTAATAGTAAGTCTCGTATCTGACCAAGGACATCTCCAGAATATCCAAAGAACTCTTGAAACTTAACAATAAGAAAGAAAAAAAGCAACCCAATTTTTTAAAATGAGTAATTAAAAAACAAAGCACAGCCCTGACCAGTGTTGCCACGTGGTTAGAGTGTCAGCCTGCACACTGAAGGGTCGCAGGTTCAATCCCCACCCCAGTTGCATGCAGGAGGCAACCAATTGATGTTTCTCTCTCACACCGATATTTCTCTCTCTCTCCCTCCCTCTCTCTCCTTCCCCCTTCCTTCCCTCCCTTCCACTAGCTCTCAGATGAGGATTAACCAAAACTAATATTTTTTTAAAAATCACAAAGAATATTACCGATGACAGGTGGACACACGGAAAGGTGTCCAGTATCATTGATCACGGCTTAATGAAAATTAAACCACACAACATGACTACATACTTCTCAAAATATTAAATTAAAAAACAAGTCCTTTGACACTATCAAAAGGGTGCAGGCAGCTGCAGGCTCCCCCGTGGCTGACGGTCCAGCCTGCCCTGCCCTCGGGGAGACAGTGTGGCTGTTTGTATAAACACACTGACCCTGTGCCCCGCACGCCCACATCTCGGATTCATCCCAGAGAGACGGAACCCACGATCACAGCAGAAACTTGCCATGAATGACTGTGGCCGCGTGATTCATAAGCACCAAACGGGAAAGCCCAGCTGTCCTTCGGTAGCGACGGGCTTTGGCACCACACAGAGCGGAGAAGTACACGGCACCGCAGGGGACGCGCGTAGACACACCCAATAGCTGGACAGGTCTCCAAGACACTGTGCCAGCGAGCGACACCAGGCCATGGGTCCCCGGAAAAGGCAGAGCTGCCAGGGGCTGGGGGGCGGGCAGTGTTTGTCCACACAGAGGAGCTCCAGGGAATTTGAGGGGTGAGGATTCTGATGGGGCTGACACGGTGTTAGGCATGTGTTATTGCATGACAATTGTTAAGTAACTTTTCAAAACAATAGAAAAGAAATCCCATTGGAAGCAGGCAGATCCCGCCACTTCAGCCAGCTGCACAGAGCGTGTGTGGTGACCTCCGAGATGAAGGCCTCTGGAGGCACCCGGACGTGCTGTGTGGACGCCCGCCCAGCAAAAGGGTGTCTTTGAAATTCTGAACGTGATCTTATACAGACGTGTTTGTGAAGATTTCCACCAACTGGACCTTAGAAGGGGCTCGGAATGGGTTTTCTGTGACAAGGGCTGGCCCGGAAGAGCCACCGAAGGGGCCCTGAGAGCCCGAGGCATCTCGCTTGGCAGGGACTGGTCTTGTCCTCCTGGGCGGAGGTCTGGGCCCAGCGCGCAGGTGGGAGCTGTGTCTTCAGTTCACAGCAACAAAAAGCTGAGCGTGGTGGACCTGCTCATGTCGTCCACGGGGATAATGTCATTGTTGTTGATGAGTCTGCCCGCCCCCTGTAAGATCAGGAGATCTGGTTCCAGGTCTGCCTGGGGCCGATGGTGTAGCCGTGGTCGGCCAACTGCGGTTCTCGAGCCACATCCGGCTCTTTGGCCCCTTGAGTGTGGCTCTTCCTAAGCCTTAGAAGTACCCTAATTAAGTTAATAACAATGTACCTACCTAGATAGTTTAAGTTTAAAAAATTTGGCTCTCAAAAGAAATTCCAATCGTTGTCCTGTTGATATTTGGCTGTTGGCTAATGAGTTTGCCGACCGCTGGTGTAGAGGGAAGGGCAGTGGTCCAGACAGTAGAGGCAGATGGGAGCACAGGGCACTGGAGGCAGGATTTAAACGAGAGGGTAGCGGGAAGAAATGCTCAAAAGGAGCCCGCGGGGATGAGAGGTGAGCCTGTTGGAAGTGCTGCCTGTGGGGTGAGAGGTGAGCCTGTTGGAAGTGCTGCCCAGGGGATGAGAGGTGAGCCTGTTGGAAGTGCTGCCCCAGCCTCGGTGCCCCCAGGGGCAGTTTCCTCCTCTCTGCAAGCTGCTCTTGGCTCTGGGCTTCCGGACGGCGTCATCCAGGCCCAGGGCCTTCACAGAAACGGGCTTAAATACCAGACTCCGGGATCGTCACAACTGCCACACTCCTCCAGTTCCCAAACGACAGCCCATTCTGGGAATCGTCCCACGGAACCTTCAACTTCCACAGAAAGCTGTGATCAGGGAGGTGGTCTCCTGGCCTGGACAAGGCCCCAGCTGGCAACCATCACGCCTCCCATCGGCTCCAGGCCTGCTCGGCTGGGTCCCAGCTCTCGGCTCTGGAAGTGGGGTGCTCTGAGGATTCAGTGGTTTGCCCCGGAAAGGAGACCGGTCCGTGAGGGCCCACGAAGAGGGGAAATAAACCAAAACATGCAAACGGGAAGAAGAGCAGAAAATGAGGGGGAGACGCCAGAGAGAAAAGGGGCTGTGGGGACCAGCTGGAGCTGGGGACTGGGGCCACAGGGAAATAAACCCCCCAACCGAGTGACAGCACCAGGCCCCTGCCCTCCTGGAGCCTGCAGTCCAGAGGGGTGGCGGGCATCCATCAGGTAACCCCAAAGGAAGAATTACAAACCATGAGGGGCTTCCTCCTGAGTAACTGGCTGGAGTTTGGGGGGTCCTGTCCACAGGGAGAAGCATGAGGGGAACCCACCAGTCGGCCCCTTGATTCTACAACGCAGGCCCCTCCCGGCAGAGGTGCCCTCAGACCACGTGGCCATGGACAGCTATCCTCCTGGCTGAGCAAAGCGCAGTTTCCTTCGTTCCCGGGGAGGAAGTGGAGGGAATCTGTACCTGCCCTGCCCCCAACAGCTGGCCAGAGTTCTCCCACAGTACCCAGAGAGGCCACCCAGCTCCCCTCAAACAGAACAACTAAACACGCAGAAAATCACACAGTGGAAGATGGCCTCCAGTTAAGAAATCAACTTCCACTGTCATCGCACAATAATCAGCTTCTTCCCCAAATACCTTCTTCTTTGGGGACAAGCATGGTCCCCCTCCCTGTCAGAATGGCTGAAAACTTGCCCAAACTCACACAGCCAGTCACGAAGGAGCCGATCTGACTTTGAATTACTAAAAAAAATAATACCATAGGCAGGATTTTATATATTCATCAAAAATATTTTGCTAAATGCAAAATAAAGTGAGATTACATCTTAGAACAACCATTTTAAAGGCAAACCACAAATAAAGGTGTGACCAGAATTCATAGTGGAGCTATTCTGGCCTTTTGAGGGTGGTGCAGACACTGTTTCAATGAACCTAGAGCTCCTGTGGCCTCCTGGGCTGCCCAGCGAAGCCACGTGTGTGCTCTGAGGGCCCGGGCTTGAGTCTTCCTTAAAGTGTGCCCATTCATGCTCCCAGAGGGAAGGCGCCCAGCCGGTGCTTGGAGGAGAACTGGTAAAAAGTGAACGAATGAATGAGTTGAAGCTGGCGGTCAGTGTGTGGCCTGTGATGACATCAGGGCCACGGCAGCTCTCGGCTTCCAGAACTGGAACCGCCTGGCTCCACTTCGCTCAGGGCCCCACGGAGACCTGCCCTGCTCTGGTTAGGAACTGGCCTGACTATAAGGAGAGTCAGGAAGGGTTGCAGAGGGGGCTCCAAGAGGCACCAGGACAGCTGGCATTAAACCCTGTCTCTCAGATGTGAACCAACTGGCAGAGTCTCGAGGAAGTAAGTGATCAGACCTGGCCATGAACCCAGTGAGTCAGTAGAAGAGGTTCCGAGTCCCTGACCCTGCAAAGCTGGGAATCAGACATGAGACCTGGTAAAATACTGATTCTATATAGTCTGTGAAGGGATAACTATACACATTGCAATTGCCAGGAAACTGGCAATTAAAAATTTGCAAAGGTATTTACTCAACAATGCCATAGATAAATAAAATACTAATAAATGTTCAAATAATCAAAACAACGGCAAGGATTAGGAAACAGAAGAATAAAAAACAGAGAGGGGAAAACAAATAATAAAATGGTAGGCCAGAATCCAAACATATTAATAATTATATTAAATGTAAATGATCTAAATTTAAAAACAGGGATTGTCAGAATGAATTTGTTAAAATCACCCCTTTCTATGCTAGCTACAAGAAACTCATTTCAAATATAATATTGGCATGCTGGTTAGTATACCATGCAAAACAAATTTTAAAATGGGGGGCCTATGCTATTATATTAGCTAATATAATATAAAATGGGGGTGCCTGTGCTAATATTAGATAATATAATATATGGACTTCCGAGAAAAGAAATTTATCAGAGATAAGGAGGGAAATTACATGATGATAAAAGGGTCAATTCACCAAGAAGACATACAATCCTAAATGTGTACGCAACCTAACAACACAGCTTCAAAACATATAAAGCAAAACTCATGAAGACAGAACTAAAAAATATAGACAAATCCAGAATTGTAGTTGAAGTTTTCAACACTTCTCTCCAAGAACAAATACATAAAAAATTAGCAAGAATAAAGAACTGGCTATCATTGGCAATCAGTGGGATCCAATTGGATGTAATTGAACACTCCACCCAACCAGAGCAGAACACAAATATTTTTTGAGTGCATATGGCACAGTTATCAAAAGGAACTGGAACTCTCATTCACCACTGGTGGGAACGTAACATAGTGCAGCCACTTTGAGAAACCCACAGTATCTTAGAGAGTTAAGCATGCACTTACTATATGAAGCAGCCATTCTGTTCTATAGATTTACAAGGAATTCAACCTTCTTGAAAAGGTTCCAGCATGAACATCTATAGCAGCTTTATTCACAATGACCCCAAACTGGAAACCAGTTGATGGACTGGCAGTGTCTGTAAACTGGTGAATGGACAAACAAACTGTATATACATACGATGAAATACTCAGCAATTAAAATTGAATGCATCTCAAAACATTATGCAGAAGCCAGGGAAAAAAAGGAATATTGTCATATTCCATGTATATGAAATTGACATGGAAAACCGTCAAAATTACAACTACCAGTCAATGATTGTAAGGGGGCAGTTTATTTACTTATTTTTTAAAAAATATATTTTATTGATTTTTTACAGAGAAGAAGGGAGAGAGAGAGAGTTAGAAACATAGATAAGAGAGAAACATCTATCAGCTGCCTCCTGCACCCCCACTACTGGGGATGTGCCTGCAACCAGAATTGAACCTTCAGTCCGCAGGCTGACGCTCTATCCACTGAGCCAAACTGGTTA